TCCTGACACCTGGAAACACAAATATCCAGAAGGATTCCACCCTCTTTCTCAGTTATCATATCTAGTCTTCCTTTCTAGTCAGTTTTTCTTGGGCTACAGAAACTGAAGCACGGTGTTAGATTCAAGTTACATGTATTACCTATCTACTCACAAAAGCCTGCGGCTTCTCACCAGTAAAATCAATTGATTGGATTTTTCACTTTTTGACTCTTAGGATACATACTTTTTTCAGTTTAATATTTAAAACATACTTGCATGTGGTGGAATATTATACTCTTTAACACATGTATAGATATATAAAATGATTTCTGCTTGGATACCTTACGTATGGTCTTCTCTGACTTTTCACAATTTCTGTGGTCATTTTATGATCACGCATTTATCTTGTTTGCAAAAACTTTGAATTTTCTCTACTCACCCATGCAGTAGGCTGAGAAGGATGTCGTACCAGGTGCTGTGCTAAGTTCTCAGACTATAAGAATGAGTAAAGTCATTTGTTCAAACTTAAGGAGTTAGATTCTTAGATGGGGAGACATAAATTAACAAAAAATCACTGTAAGTACTTTCTCGGTGGCTGTTTCTACTGAAAAGGAGGGCAAGGGACTTTAGCGTCTTATTCTCTGCTGTTATCACTAGCACCTAATACATAGGAACACTCGGTATATAAGTAAGTGAATGTGCTAAAATAGCGTTATACAGAAGGACCTATAGGAGCCCCCAAAGGAGACATCTTCCTAATTTTATGTGTGGAGTTTTGGCTGGCAGGTGGAGGGAGGGTGTCACTTCAGAAGTGTCATAAAAAAATCCTTGAAAATGAGATATGAGCTGACTCCTAGGAGATAGTGAAAATTAGGTACAACTGGACACGGGCATTGCTTAGGAATTCTAGTAGTTCCTGATGCCAAGAAGAAATCAGTCTGTAGAGATTTGCAACAAAAATATTTGAAGGGCCTTGAGGACTGCAGTATTTATTTCCATTTTAGTATCTATAAGAATATGCTGATTTTTTTTTAGTTGTCCATCTACAGCTACTACACTGGTAGTTCATGGGTGCTAAAGACATCTGTCTGTTATCCAGGCACTCAACATAATGGTGGGGATGGAGTGGCTCATCATTCCATGAAAGAAAGAAAGAAAAGAAAGAAATTGAAAGAGCAAGAGCAAGGAAAGGGAAGGGAAGGGCGAGGGAAGGGCGAGGGAAGGGCGAGGGAAGGAAAGGGAAGGAAAGGGAAGGAAAGGGAAGGAAAGGGAAGGAAAGGGAAGGAAAGGGAAGGAAAGGAAAGGAAAGGAAAGGAAAGGAAAGGAAAGGAAAGGAAAGGAGAGGAAAGGGGAGGAAAGGAGAGGAAGGAGGGAAAGGAGAGGAAAGGAAAGGAAAGGAAAGGAAAGGAAAGGAAAGGAAAGGAAAGGAAAGGAAAGGAAAGGAAAGGAAAGGAAAGGAAAGGAAAGGAAAGGAAAGGAAAGGAAAGGAAAGGAAAGGAAAGGAAAGGAAGAACAACAGCAGGGCAGTGATTAAGTCTGATGAAGTCTTCTGGATGGTAGCATGTCGGGAATGTAGTCAGTCTATAATAGGGCGAAGTCCTAGTCAAGGGCTTAACTAATGGTGAGTTTGATAACGGTTTCAACTCATAAGTAATACCAGAGGTGTGAATATGGGAGGTTTCCAAGTGCCTTCCTCGCGGGAAAGGGAAAAAATGAATGTAAGCGGGAGGCTGTCCTTTCCAGATTTGTAATTTCCAGGTCCCAGTGAGCAAGAAGAGAAAGCCTGGCTGGTTAACTTTGGGATACTTAGACATTAACATAGGTAGCTACAAGACTGTCGGGTCGCAAACAAAAGGCACCAAAGCGCAGAGTAGGTGCTGGTACTCCAGAGTGGAAAGCAAGCTGTGTCCCTGGGACTAGCGGCTGCCGTGAGCGGGGTACACAGCACTCCAGGAGGCCCAATAACTCCCATCCTTTGGCTCCAGTGCTGAGACCACAGCGCGGAGGGCAGAATGCGGTAGGCCAGATTCAGGGGTCCCACCCGACGCAGTTCTCAGTAGCACCCACGAGCGCTGGGGCGGCAGTGGAGCCTCTCCTCTCCACCGAGCGCGTTGACCTGCTGGTGGAGAAGGAATGGGGTCTGCCATTCCTTCATAAACTCCCTCCAGCTGAACGATCCCAAGCTGCAGCCTGGGCTTCTAGCCTTTTTCTTCAGTAGGGATTAGCAGTTGAAGAGGGCTCCGCAGGGAGCCTCTCTAGGCAAGCCTCCGTTTCACAGCCTCCGCAATCTGAAAGGACAATCGCCTGCCATGGATTTTTTCTCCGGGCCGCAGGACAGCACAGGTCCTCGAGAGGTGAGCTCGGAAGAGCTCCCTGGGCTCCACCCCTAGGTGACGCTAAAAAAGTGGGCGGTCCTTGAGGGCCATCTCTTCTCTGATTGGTGTACTTCTCTGCCGGAGCTCCCTTCATTGGTGATTGGTTCAGATGCACCACCTGTCACCTGCTTCTTGGCAGGAATCTAGGTCGTTAAGGGAAGCGTTGGGAAGAGCTTGGCTGGCCCCTCCAGCCCAGTTTGTTTATTGTAGTAGGGACCGTACCCCAGCGCGAGCCTCGGTTCAACGGCTAGAAAAGGAACCAGTAGCTGGAGGAGGGCGGGGGTGGCAAGAAAGTGCAGGTTTAGAAGTGAACGGGAGGAACACATCCCAGTGGGAACGCAGTAGCAAGGAAGGCCTTTCAGAGAGGAGTTGTAATCCTGGGAGCCGTCCAGGGTAGGAGGCAAGGACTAGTTTCTGTGGTGAGAGAAATGGCCTTGAGGGAGCTTTTCATGGTCTGTTTTGAAATTTAATTTTCTAGGTGAGCGTCTTAATAAAATTCACTGGACATTTTGCTTTGATTTTGCAGCAGAGTCGGGGGACTACCAGCCACTCCTAGCCTTCAAAGAGACAATTTATTGAGTAATTTAACTTTCTTTTATTGCTTCAGATGGGCAGCTCTCAAAAAAAGCACAAAAGCCATTGAAGAATGGATACCATTGCATATATTAAAAGCATGTTGAGAGGAAAATAAGGTATCCGCTTTGATTTAATTGTGGTTAATTATACAAAAAATAACTTTCAGAAGAAGCTCTTCAGTTTTTAATACTGGTAGGGTAGCTTGATTTTATTATAGGATTGAAATTCTTAAATTGTTTGATAAAAAAATCATATTATTGTGCTAACTACCAAATATGTTCTTTGCTAATGGTTATCTAGTCCTATCATTCTGAAAATAGAAATAAATGTTGAGGCTTTACTACTATGTTAATTTCCATTTGATCAAATAGTGCTGCTAGATCTTTCCTTTAAAAATGACATGATAATCACTGTAAAAAATCCTTGAATTTATAATTTAATGTTAGAATATGCATGAAATTGGATTGTTGCTTACTCATACAATAGTTTAGACTTGCAGGCTCATTTCACTTTACATTTAAAGTAGTTTGCCTCTTAAACACTGAGTCAGAGTTGCACCAGTTGCTTCACTGACAAACTAGTCATTCCATTGTCCAGCTTCTATTAAGACATGTGCTATATTACTTACCAGAAATGTCTAAAGAGTAGTTTATTTCATCCACAGAAACACCCAACTGTTAAAGACTGACTTTGCCTTACCCTGGAAAATTCTGACCGAGGACTGGGGATGAGATCTGGGCATCTGTATTTCTTAAACTTTTCTCTAGTGAGTTCGATGTGCACTCCCAGCTGAGAACAGTTGCTTTAATGACTTTTTAAGTAGATGTGTTTAAGAAATTCTAAGCCCTGGCAGGGTAACTCAGTTAGTGTTGTCCCAATATGCTAAGGTTGCCAAGTTCCATCCCTGGTCAGGGCTCAGACAAGAATCAACCAATGAATGCATAAATAAGGGGAATAGCAAATTGTTATCTCTTTTTCTCTCATCAATAAAGGAAATTTTAAAAAAATTCTAAAATATTAATGAAACATAATTTCCTCCCTGATTTCCTTATAGGTTAAAAGTAAGTTTCTCAGGGATGACACTCAAGTATAATCCCACAGTGTTTGCTTAGGCAATATCAGGACATTTCACTGGCACTCAGAAACCTTTGGAACTGACACAATTCCAGGTTTGGGGATGAGGTTTCAGATGTTGAGATGCCAAGTACTCTGATATACTCTAATAAACCTCAGAGCCATGCATGAGGTATTTTTTTCCTGTTAGATTTAAGGAGACATCAATGTCAAGTGTATTCAGTAAGCTAAATTATTTTTACGTCGACAAAGTACATTTGGGTTGGGGGGGTATAATATTACATTTATGAGCTTTATTTTGGGAAGAATACCCTTGCTGAAAATAAATGTAAATAATGACCTCCCAATAGCCACTTGTTTATTAAATAAAGACAGTGTGTGATTCAAGCTGAGAGTTTATATGCTAACATGAAGTACCTGGATGTTTGAAGCATTAATGAGGGATTTCAGACCGACTTTACTGGACAGTCAAAGGATACAAAATGAGATAATCACTTTGGCGTTCAGGTATGAGAAATGTGTGGTGAAACCAAATCCAGTCTGACTTAAATGAAGGCTTTAGGCAAAGAAGTAGGTCCAATGTGTTCTACCTCCTAGAAGCTATTTTACATTTTATATAAAAGTTCTCATTGTAAGATTTGGCACATGAAGTATTTGAATAGGGGGCAAAATTTACAAATAAAAATATTGCCCTGACTGGTGTAGCTCAGTGGGTTGGGTGGCATCCTGTAAACCAAATGGTCACAGGTTAGATTCCTAGTCAGGGCGCATGCCTGGGTTGCAGGCTGGGTGTCCAACTAGGGGTGTGTGAGAGGCAACTGATTGGTGTTTCTTACATCAACGTTTCTCTCCCTCTCTTTCTTCTTCCTTTCCCCTCTTACTAAAAAGTAAATTACAAATCTTAAAAATATAAGCATTGAAAAATATAAAAATTTATTACATGAAGCCATGTACATATAATCCATGACTAATACCTTGCATTGTATGTATACATATATGTTGTTTAAACAGAAAGCCAGGAATCTCAGTATGAATCAGTCTAGATCTAGATCAGATGATGATGGAGAAGAAACTTCATTTCAAGATAGTCATCATCATGAAAATGAGAGAAGATGGCAGCAAGAACGTCTCCACCGAGAGGAAGCTTATTATCAGTTTATTAATGAACTCAGTGAAGAAGATTACCGGCTAATGAGAGACCATAGTCTTTTAGGCACCCCTGGTAAGAGATGGGTAAAAGAGGACACACCTTTTTTTAATCAGCATAAGGAGGAATTACTAAATAAAGATAGTTTTTTTCCTCTCTTCTCTCTCCCAATATAGGGTGTACCATTTCTGTGAATTTAAGAACTTTTTAATATAACAAAATAGAAAACCTCTGTCTTCTGTATTTTATAGCTGGGTTAAGAATATTATATACTGAATAGTTTTGGAACACTGTTATACAAATGCCAAACAGGTTAATGTACATAATAGTGTCAAATATTTACATAGATGGCCCTATTTCTCTTAAGTAATATTTCTACAAATAAAATTGTGATAGTTGTGTGTCTGCTCCCCCCTCGCTGCCTCCCTGCTGATCCATAGTTTCTCTTTCTAAGGTTTCAGTTACCAAAGGCGTTGATAAATATCATGCAGTTCTGAACACCATGATGAAATCTTGTGCCATCTTGCCCTGAACTTGAATGATCCCTTTTGCCCATCCTATCACACTACTTATACTATGCACCTATCAGTCATGTAGTAGCAGTTTCAGTTATCAGATTAACCGTGGTGGTATGTGGTAGAACTTGTCTTCAAGTAACCCTTATTTTACTTAATATTGGCCCCAAAGCCATGCACATAAATTTAATTACAGTATATTGTTATAATTGTTTTGTGTTATTGTCATCATTAATCTTTTACTCTGCCTAATTAAAAAATTAAACTTTATCATAGCTGTATATATATAGGAAAAAAAGTATATATAGGGTTTGATACTATCCACAGTTTCAGGCATCCACTGGGGGTCTTGGAATATGTCTCCCACAGATAAGGGGGGGCTACTGTATTTAAAACTCAATTGTTACATTTGAGGTAATGTAATTAATTTAGCTGAATTAGTAGCTGCCAAAAGTCCAATGTACTCTGTAGACATGTTACAAATTTACTTTACAGATGAACTCATTGAAACTTGTATGTTTGTGTATTACGTGCTTATATAGCGCATACTTACATATTATATGTTGATGAGTCATACCACTGAACTGTTGAGGTAAAATTCAAGTAAATAAAGATTTGAAGTTTTCTCTAGGAATACTCACTTCTTAATTTCTTTTTAACTCTGACAAAAATCAGTGGAATTATAGCTTATGGGTTCCTAAGTGTATTGACTGAGAACACTTTATCAATTATTCAAATTAAATCTTAATTTAAATAAAATATTAATAAATGAAGCAACCAAAATGATGTACATTTGCACCATTTAAATATTTTAACTGTCTTTAATTTATAGAATGAACACAATAAAATGTCTTCTACAGCTAAAAATTAGTCTTATTCTTCATGAGTTATAATAAAACTTAGTTAATTTAAAGCTTTTAATTTCAGTGAGCAATTTTTAATTTTTTAGGAGAAATAACATCAGAAGAACTACAACAGCGGTTAGATGAAGTCAAGGAACAATTAGCATCTCAGCCTGACTTGAGAAATGGGACAAATACCAGAGGTATTGTGGACTCCTTTCCATAAGGAACAAGTTTTACTAGAGCAATTGCAGAAATGAATTTACTGGCTCTTGTGCAATATGTTTGTTTTTAATGTTCTCCAGTTTTGGTGTGCTACTCAGTATTTATGTATTACATGCAAAGCAGTATAATGAGACAATATGGGACGGGGTCTGAATTCAGAGATGGCTTACACAGGTTGCCTTCAGGGAGCTCATGCATATGAAAAAGTATACAGTTAAGTTACTTACCACCATAGTTCCTGTTAATCTTAGAATGTATACAATATCTTTTTAAAAGTAATATAACTAAACCTCACTTCTAAAAATTTATGCAGAGCAATACAGGAAGACTGAGTCAGGAAACCTGTTTTGCTTGTTTTGTTGTTTTTATGTTTGCTTTGTCATTTTGTTGAACAAACACTAAGTCATAATACAAGAAGTTCTGATAAAAAAAAAACAAAGTGCTTGTAAAAAGAATTCAAACTGAATAAAAAGTATATAAAGTTAAAAGTGAGGCTAACTTAATGTCCCTCTTACCAGTTCCACTTCCATCCCCAGAGGTATCTATTACTAGTAGTTTCATATATAATATTAAGAACATTATACTAATTATGGCAAAGACTATTAATGGCTATTAACCAAACAATGCAATGGCTCAATAAGCTAGAAGTTAAATAAACTTCTAAACTTCTATCTTCCTTTCAGGTTAACAGGCCAGGGAAGATAGGCAAATTTTGCTCCATAAAGCCTCTTGGGACCCGTCTAGCTGGCAGAGTTTCTACAACTGTGCCATCCACATGTGACTATTTAAATTTAAGTGAAATAAAATAAAAAATATAGTGCCTCAGTCATGTTAGCCACATTCAAGTGCTCAACACTCATGTGGCTAGTGGCTTCTGCATTGGACAGGGTAGATATAGGACGTCTCCACTGTGATACAAAGTTTTAATGGACCTGACTGTGTTAGGGTACTATTTGCCTGATGGAACTAAGTCACAACCATATTTAGTTTCCAGCTGGCACACGGGATAGAGGCACCAGCCTGAAAGTGAGGTATATCACTTCTACTCCCATTCCATTGATGAGGACTTAGGGACATGGCCACACCTAACTGCCAGCCTGAGCACATGACCATGACACCGAATTCACAATGGAAGAAGGGTAGGAAAGGTTTTGTTAGATAAATAGTGCACTTTTGGACACACACTCTTATCATTACCTTCTTGTAATTAAAGAAGGTAGTTGCATTTAGAATGATTAATGTTTACCTGCCTTTCACTCAGGTCTTTTTCCAAATTAAAATGGAAATTGGGTATTAACCCTTTTTTTACTTTATGTTTAGATATGTAAATTGAACTACCATATTGAAAATATACTTACCACATGTAAAATAGCTTATATCTTTAGAATATGGCTAAAGCTGTTGTTTATTTTATGACACCAGAGGCTGATTGACAGCTTTAAGTCGACACTTTAAAAAGCTCTTTATGAGAGATTGCACTAATGAAATAAAACAAAAGCAATCTCATTTAGTAGCTGTTTTTGAGTAGAACAAACTTTAAGGCTAAAGCCTATGTAGTTAATGTTAATTAGAGTGCTTTTTATTCAGTTTTTGTTAATTTTTAAAATTTTTTAAATATTTTCTCATTACCGTTTAGTCCTCTTGTATCCTCCTCTTCCCCAGGGACCACCACACTGTTGTCCATGTTCATCAGTCCTTTTTCCTTTTTGCTTAGTATTTCGCTTTGTATAATCCCCTGGCAAAATTGAAAAACTTAGGCTTACTGTAATAGCAGAGTCAGAGTCAAAGTTTTTCAGGGACACATTTATATCTGAATTGATTCATTAAGCAATATTAATTGATAGTATGATTTGTACCAGATACTGTTGTTAGAGGTTGGGGATTTAATGCTCTTCATGAGGCTTACATTCTAAATGAACAAAAAATGTATTTTATTACATTATATATAATAGCTATCATTGAATTTTTCCTGCGTGCCAGGTATTGTAGTATTCATTTTATATACAATAGCTTATTTTATCCTCATGAAAACTTTATGAATTTATACTACTCTCTCCAATTTACAGATAAGGATATAGCTATATTAAACTTAAATGACATGACTAAAGTTTCTGAGTTTTATGTAAATACAAATAATGTAGTTCTAACAATGTATTCAGAAAGCTACGTTTCTCTAGCTGTAGATTTTTGGCAGTTCCCGAGAAATAGGATAAAACTCCCAAGGTTACAAAAATACCTATTTGCAAAAATGTTGATTGAGTTACCTTTACCAGAAGGATTCCACAAATTTAAGATGAATTATATATAAATTTTGCCACTGTATTTTATTGACATTGCCATATGAGTGAAGTGATCTAAATGTGTAATTCTGGTATGGGAAATATTTCTTATTTACCTTAATATTTTGCCAGTAATAGGCATATAGAAAGCAGGTGTGTGGATTTTTCACAGCTTTGCATAAATAGTAAATTTTTAAGACATAAGTATTTATTATAATTATAATAATAATTTAAATACATATTTATTATAATATGCTTATAATGTACACCTTTCTTTTAAAAAGTTGTTTTTTGTCACCATTTTCACTCATTAAAATGCATAGATGTTCTTAAATGTAATTTAATTGAATAAAAACTTTGTCATGCAAGCTTTCAATAAAAACCTAAGGACAGATTTTAAAAACTGGTCTTAAGTTGATTTGGTTTGCTTCCCAGACTCAGAAGTCCCTAGAGAGAGTTCCAGCGAAGATGCTCTACTAGAATGGTTGAATACCTTTCGTCGTACAGGCCATACAGTTCGAAGTGGACAAAATGGGAACCAAACTTGGAGAGTTGTGAGTCGAACAAACCCTAATAGTGGAGACTTTCGGTTTAGTATGGAAATCCACATCAATCATGAGAATAGAGGATTTGAAACTCATGATGAAGATTATGCAAGCATTCCCCTTTCAGATATTAGCAGTGATCATATTACAAATAGGCAGCAAAGATCAACAAGTCCTGTGGCTAGACGAACAAGAAGCCACACCTCAGTGAATTTCAGTGGTAGTAGTTCCAACATTCCAGATACTGGGCTTGGCTCCAGGGGGCAGAATTCAGTAGAGGGATCTTTCTCAACACCAGGCAGATTAAGAAATGGAACCAGGGGAGCAGTTGGCATTCCTAGAACTAGGGCTCCACATGCTAATTTCAGTAGTCACACAGACCGGTCAGGTGGTAGTGAACTCAGGCGAAGGGAGGGGCAGCGATTTGGAGCAGCACATGTGCGGGAAAATGGGGCTAGAAGTAATGTTACAGTGAGGAATACAAACCAAGAATTAGAGCCAATAAGATTACAGTCTACTTTGAATAGTCGAAGTCGTTCGCCAATCCAAAGACAAAGGGGCACTGTTTATCATAACTCACAGAGGGAAGATAGACCCGTACCACAAACCATTAGAAGGTCCGTTAGGAGGAGAGGTACAACGGGTGTCTTTTTAGAACAAAATAGAGCGCGAAGAGGTAGAGTATATACCCCATTCTCTAACTCAAGGCTTGTGTCAAGAATAACAGTAGAAGAAGGAGAAGAATCTAGCAGATCCTCAACTGCTGCACGACATCCAACAATCACACTGGACCTTCAAGTGAGAAGGATTCGTCCTGGAGAGAACAGAGATGGGGACAGTATTGCAAACAGAACTCGATCTAGAGTAGGGCTCATAGAAAATACAGTCACCATCGAAAACAATAGCAGGGGCTTTCAACGAACTATTTCCCATTTAGAGCAGTCAGGTATTCGAACCTATGTTAGTACCATAACAGTTCCTGTTCGGAGAATATCTGAGAATGAACTTGTTGAACCATCCTCAGTGGCTCTTCAGTCGATTTTAAGACAGATCATGATGGGATTCGGGGAACTGAGTTCTGTAATGGAGGCCGAATCCACGTCAGAGATTCAGAGAAATGGTCAGCATTTACCAGAGATACACTCAGAACTAAGTAACCCGGGTCCAGGGAATGACAGCAGCCAGCACCCTGAAGGTTTTTCTCAGGCCAGGCAGGCCCAAGAAGACAGCACTGGAATGAGTGATGGGAGTGAGACCGCCCAGCCCCATGCTCAAAACAGTGATAGAAGCGGTAGACAGTTAGGAAATTCGAATAATTTGGTGGAGACTGGAGCATTACCTATTCTTCGCCTTGCTCAGTTCTTTTTACTACATGAAGGTGTTGGTGATGATCACATATGTGGTTTAACCAAAGAGCAGATCGATAATCTTTCTACCCGGAACTATAAGCCTAACAGTATTGACAATGAACTAGGTAAAATCTGTAGTGTGTGTATCAGTGACTATGTAACTGGAAACAAGCTCAGGAAGTTACCTTGCATGCATGAATTTCACATCCATTGTATTGACCGATGGCTCTCAGAGAACTGCACTTGTCCTGTCTGCCGGCAGCCTGTCTTAGGGTCTAGTGTACCACACAATGGATGACGTGATGGAGCTATTCAAATACTGAATTTTAGTAGAGCTGAATGTTCAAGCATTCTTTTGTTGAGTTATCTGTGATGAGCTAACCAGGATGGAAAATAACAGATTATTATAGTTTAAGCTATCTTTGTGTGCTTTTTAAACTTGTTAAAAAGAAAACATTTATATAAAATTTAAAAGGCAAATGCTAAATTACCCAAAAGTACAGAATACTTATATTTCTAGAGCCAAATAACCTTTAAAATGTTTTTATTTTGGTAAATTTTGTCATGCCAAGCACTTTTGTATGTGCTGCACAGTTCAGTAGGCTAAAAACCAACCTTGTTTTTCTTAGTAGTACAACAGACTTTATTTGGAATTTCAAATTCCATAGGCCTAGTATATCCAGACATTGGTGTCTAAATAAGTCTTTGATGACCTTTTTATTCTAAGGTCAATATCTTTTCATGAAAAGAGTATTTGGCTGAATGTTTGCTAAATGTATTTAAATTACTTGAAATGTTCAATTTATATAGAGTACACCATATGTGTATATATAGCTCTATAATTTTAAGGTTAAAATATTCAGTCTAAAAACTACCAGTTTGGTTTTTATTTAAGTTTTTTCAGCTAATACTGCATATGGCACCAGGTTTAATATTTACAAGATCATCTCTGGGAGGCAGTGGATTAAGATATTTAAAAATAGATAATTTAATGAAGCATCTCTGACTATCTGACTTATTAGACAGCAAGCAATATATAATGCTAAAGAAGTCTTTTTTTATTCAGTAATGGAACATGAACATTTTAGAACATATAGGTTATTTAACTTGAATTCAGCCTTTTTGTGACTTTTTTTGCAAGTGCAGACAATTCTTTGAATTAAACTCAGTAAGGTACACAATGTGCATGGGTTCTCAGATTTCATTTTAAATTCTGAGGAACATCTATAGAGAATCAAATGCATAGATAATATGTTAAGTTCATTTGGAGGCCCCAAAACTCCAAATGAAACAAAACAAACACCCTTAAAAGAATGTAGAATTTGTATAAACACAAAGTATGTATTGAAGATCTATTTCTACCAATAAATTTTAAAGCAAAACTGTGTGTAATCTGTTCTGTTATTCCACTGTGGTTTATTCACTTAAAAAAAAAACATTTATTTTGTACCTACTAGGTGCCAGGGAATGTTGCAGGTGTTGAGAATTCAGCAAAGGACTAAAAGACAAAGTCTGTATCGTCATGGGAAGGATGTATTTGCTTTCAGATATCAAAAATCAATTGACAAGATGAATTACTATTCTGACTTTTATGATATTGTTTTCCAGCAGGGATCCTGCTTGGGCAAAATCACGAAAATATGTACCTGAAGGCCAGATTCTGTGAGATTTTGATACATCTCCAGATTTAGTTTCTTGTTGTTATTAGTGATTATACAGGTGGGCAAAAATAGGTCTACAGTTGTGTATATGTGAAAGAGTTTATTCTTATACTACTTATTTATTATTTTATTATTTATTTTTAACAACTGTAAACCTGCCTTTGCTCACCCTGTATAAAATTCAATAGGTAAGGTGTCCACAGAGGAATTATTGGGGAGTTCATTTAATACCTGGAGTGAAGGGCTTTAATAAAGGCCATGACTTTCTTTGGAGTAAATGATTCATGTAGGTAAATTATGGGACATAGGACTGGGCAGTTTGATTTGAAAGCTTTAAATACCAGACTAAGGAATTTTTCCTTTACCTTACAGACTTTAGATGTCTCTTGATAATTTTTTGTGGTGAATGGTAAGATTATTTTTCATGTTTCAGAAAGACCAGGGTGGTACAGTGTTCAGAACATGATAGACTAGAGAGAGAGATGGGGAGGAAAAAATAAAATAGAGGAGCTATTATGATAATCATTATCAGATAATATTATTGCCATCATCAGTTGTTAATTAGCCTAAAGTTATGGCAGTAAAACTGCAAAGTGAAAAGTGCGTAAAAATCTTGGAAAAGAAAAGACATTTGGTTTCTAGTTTAATATTGAAGAGGTGGGAGAGTCATATATTCACAGATGGAGAATCACTGGAGGGAAGGAGGGTCAAAGCTAATTCAGTTTAGACATGTTTTTTAAACATAACCGTATTCATATATCTCACTCATTTCAGTGTTACCATTTGCCAAGAGACTACATCCAGCATTTATTGCTCATATGGAATATTCCTCAGGAAGTTCTACCTCCCCTGACCTGATCAGTTAGGACAGCAGAACAAGGGGGAAATGAAAAAAGTAGGGATAAAAAAATAAAAGCATATTGCTTCTTTATTTGACTCAGTTCTTTGTAAGATGTAGTAGGACAAGCATGTGACAAGATCTCAAATAGACATTTAGAATAGAAGTACACGTGGACTAGATGGAAGATTTCCTAGATGGAAAGCAGCAGGAAAGCTTAATGGGTTTTGTAAATTGGTGCCCTAGTTGGGAACAAAGAAGTGTTTTCTTTAATATTTTGATTCATTTCTCAGTAAACATGGCTGATGACAAATACAAAGGCTCATTATCTATTTATAGCTTCTATTGGCGATAATTGTACCATTTGTGGTTCCGATATAGAAAGGAACAAATATTGCACTTTAATATTTTTCATTTGAATATTATGTTCCATGTCATGAGCTTAGAACTATCCTTTATCCTGTGGCTGTCTTACAAATGTCTATTTCTAAATTGTCATCTTCCCAATTGTTTTCCCACGTATTTTATCCTTTCACCTTATTTCCCAGATTTTATAGTTTCAGCTAGCATTCTTATGACCCGTCCTTGATTAACTTTTATTTACTCTTATGAGGTTATTTTCAATGTTTAATATGAATTCACAATTTAAACTTCCCCGAGATCTCCTTGAAGTATTATTGCTACTTAACACAGTCAGTGGCAGAGTTGAGAGTCAGTCACAGGACCATCTGCTTCCCACGCCTGTGCTCCTCCCACTGCGCTGCATTCGGGGAAGCAGGGTGTCTTGGGAAGTTTTCAGTCTAATTTATTCTTTCCTAAAGATATTTTTTTAATTTTATAATTGTTGCGTCATGTCTTTGTGATTACCCTAATTTCCATATGCAAATACACCCTCTCTGTATCACGAAGAGAGGAGGACTGCTCTGAAAAGATACAAAACAAACTGTGTTATGCTGTGTTTGTTTTGCTGTGTTAAGGACCAGGGTTAATAAGCTGATTCTGGGGCATTTTCATGAATATTATTCCCAGATAAGAAATTATAAGAACTTCTAATCTTTCTGTATCTCCCCATTTGAATAATCTCTGGCCAGAGGAAGAATTGTGTAGAAATAGCACTCTATTTAAATAGGGTAGTTACTATTCTCTTGGCATTGGAAGCAGGCTCATTCGGGGACTCTCCCTCACTCTTGTGTAACATTAAAAATGAGAGAGCTGGGATATTTGTTAACACGGATAAGGAAGATGATTTCCTAGGAAGCCACACCCATCTACTCATAGAGGAGGCCAATGTTCTATGTTCTGAAGCACATGAGTGTCAGTGGTGATCGTCTCTTCAATCTGTGAAGACAGATGGTGAGATCTTTTCAGGAATTACAAGTGTATTAGGTCCTGGATATATTTGCCCTTATGATAACTGGGGATCCATAATTACTTTCCGCAAGTTTTTTATTTGTTTTATTTTAAGCATTAAATCTCTCAAGACTCTGAGTTGGCTCCCATTTTTTTTGTTGTTGTTAACACATTTTTTTTCCTGGAAAATGAAAAACCACTTTTAGATGTCTTTTCCCTCTACTGTATTAATGTCTTATTTGAAGACGGAGTTACCACCTGGTGTCCCAGTACACATGCACCCCTCCTCCCACCTTTATGCTCCTATTTAACCATGATCCAACTGTCTTCTGAACAATTCCAAACATTTTCACATTCTCCCCAATGGGAGATGATCCAAATTTACTTATAGTTTCCATATTATAAAGTGAAACAATAAAGTCACTCTTCTGAGTTTAGGTTTTCTGGATAGTGTCTATTCCTCCATTAGCTTGGATTTAATCAGATTTGATTGTGACTCATCACATCCTGTTTATGGGATAAGTGATCAATATAGCTTCTATCTACCAGATAAGGTAAAGTAGAATAAAGATCAAACTAAAAGGGGGGAAAGAAGTGTCATTGATGACACTGATTTCTGGTACAGAATATGTATATCACATCTTGCTGAGTAAGCTTAGTAGGATGAATGATAGAAATAGTGAGTCTCATAAGCATCTCTTTGTTGACTCACTTATCTGGATGTAGAGTAAGTTGTTTGGCCAACCAATTTGTCTGGTCCAGACCCTAAGTTAGGGCCACCTTCAGAAAGGCGTTGAGGGAAGATTCCCCAATGTTGGTGGTGGTGGTGGTGGGTGGGGAGAGGGGTGGAAGTGGGAAGGTCTGAGGGGATACTTGTGACCTTAGGACTTCGGTGTGAGCGCTTGGTTCAAGTACTGCCATGCTGTCAAACAGTCATAGGTCCCTGTATAATAGGTTAGGGGCTTTTTTGACAATACAACTTCTGAAAACTTAGCCTCTTAACTTCATTTGGGGTCTTGTATCCATTTCCAGAGATCTTGTAAAGTATTATTCTTGATTTGATATAAGGAATAGTCATGGCCTGTGGGGGCAACTTCTCTCGTGAGTCCCCCAGTGCCACAGACACGCGTGAATGAATAAATATGGCCGAGACAAGATGAGATCTGTTTGGGGATGGAGGAGTGGGCTGTGGCCAGTTTCCCAGGGGAGACAAAGGCCAGCAGCAGCCAGTTTCTCTGAGGAGAAAAAGGCCTCAAGCGCCCTCTTCCATAGCCTTTTATTGGATTGTAATACACAGGCATACAGGGCAGCAAGGATCAAACAGTAGATAATATTTCAAAGAGATCTGAGGGCTTCAGAGAATGAGTCAGTGTCTGTCAGGAAGAGAGTTGCAGAAACTTTGGGAGACATACTCATTTCCTCTCAGACCCTTATCATATGAATGAATGCACTCGTAGCAGAGCAGATTTTACA